TTTTATGTGAAAGATTATGCAGGATGATTTTCAGATTATCGTGAAGAAAAAACTCTAGGTCACAACACCCATTAGTTAAAAGTATTGTTGATGCATATTTAGTATGTGTTTTGTGGCCTTATTTCAGAAACCTTCATTTTTAGTTTTTTTTTTCAATAACCACGCATAGACAAAATTCTCTCAAAAATACAAACATGTACATACATGTTGCTCACATATTATGGTAGCCCTGTTTCTGCTAAATAGAGAGTAATCTCACCTGTGCCATTAATATGATTATAAGCAACTGAAAAAAGCACAAATGTCGGGGCATCTCAAAACATCTCAAGGACCCCAAAAACACTCTAGACTTCAGAGGGTTAACTAGATAAGTTGGTTCATGTGATTTGTTTCGCTCTTCAGATTCTTCAGTAGGGGGACATTGTGAGCTTCAAGACTCCCTGGTTTTCATGGTGCATTGTGGGACTTTTTAGGAAGCAAACATTTCAATGCACTGAAACAGTTTTGCAATTTGAGACAGTCTTGAGCAGTGCCCTGACTACTAAACTATGGAACAGATTGAGACACACCCAGGGAAAATTCTGTCAATGGCTGGGAAGCGTTGTGTCACAAATATGGAAAATTATGTCTATGACAGGGAAAGGGTTAAAAGACCCTCTGGACATTAAAATTAGTCATGTGTTACAAGGCTTTCTAACTTAAATGACAGTGAAAAGCATCATTTTCAAAGTACTTTGATGTGTAAGAAGGTAGTCACCCCTTTGAGCAAAAGTCTATTGTAATGTTTGGGTGTGAAATTAAAATGGATCTTTATATAATGCATAACTACCAAGCTCAGACAATAGCAGTGGCCAGAAATGGATACTTAAGTGTAGGGATGAAAATGGAGATGTGTAATTTCATGTGATATTTAGCTTGAATCACTTGATTGGTGTGTTTTGCCTGAAATAATTAGGTTTGCTGTCTCATTCAAAAGCAAGAGGATGCATTTGTGTATGATGGGCAGACTAAGAGTCTTGAGGCCACTGTCAAACCATTAGCAGTTACTGTTTGTGTTGTTTGTGCTGTCTGTCAAATGATAAATAGGGTGCAGTGTGGTGGATTAGAGACCAGACCCCGATAGTCTGGCTAGCAGAACAAATACTTGTATTGACATCCATTCTTTATGGTTTCTCTTTACTCCATGCTGTGAACTCAGCCTTGTCCTAAAGATACAAGTAGGTCTAGCAAGGGAAGGCAGGGCCGGCTCTGACCAATTTGCTACCCAAGGCAAGATGTGTATATATATATATATATATATATATATATATATTGCAAGAGCATTACATCTAGCATTATATAGCGCTTTTTAGTCTACAATACAGATTATTACAAGGCAGCTATACAGTGATAACAGGAAAATAATGCAACATTTGCTTCTCCTGTACAGCAGGATCTGTACAGATCTGAAGTATTTTCAGTGATTTATTTTGTTGGAAAAAATAATAATTTGTAATTTATATATAGCTGCTCTGGATAAAACAGTGATGTCATCGTCCAAATGTCATTCATGCACAAACTATTCATTGAGCACTAGCAAAAGTGTTTGTTTGGGAGTTGTTCCACTAAATTATGGCATGTTTCATGTTTTCAACATGAATGAAACTGCAAATCGTCTTCTTTAATGTGAATTTTACATAAAACATTGATACTTTTAATAAACCTGTAGACTATAAATATCATTAATAAGTTAGGCAAATAAATAAAAGTTTGTATTATATCCCCCTCAAAACTGCACACCTGTATAGTAAAATATTGCATAATAAAAAGTGATGGTAAATGCGTCTAAAAAAAAAAGACATTGTTACATAACGCATTGTCTGGGGGCTCTGAATAACTCAGAACGGTTGTTAGCATAAAGTTTTAAGGTAAAATTAACTGCCATTAAATTATAGTATCTCACTATTATGCAATTAGATAAACTGTTCATTCATTACATCACTTTACCTCTGTCTTTATCCCCTTGTATCCTCTTCTTTTCTTTTTGGCACTGTATCTATCGCAGGCTATAATGCTAATTTAAATGTGTCATGACAATTCGGCAATCCGTCACAATGAGGTAACTTTCACCGTGTCTAGCTAGACCTGGTGCGAGCTGCCAGGGTTGTTTCTACGGGAGTGCTTGAGTGTATTAAGCGCCCTTAAACGAAAGCAAAGCTGTCTGCTTTGGAAGCGGCAAGGTGTGACGCTACACAACAAATTACCAACAGTAAACTAATCGTGCCCGCTCTTTTCTGATGCACTTCAAGCACTCGCTGGGCGGGGGAAGATTGATGCGTCGGACCGCAGCGGGGGACTTAGTTAAGTTTTTGTGGAGTTGTTTTTCTTTATTGTGTAATTGGTAGTTTTGAATTAATTGTTTTAAAATAGTAGTCTAATAATAATAATAATAAATAAAAAGAATCACTCCTAGCATTTGCCTATGCCACGGGCTGGCCATGAGGGAAGGATATTTCTTTACAGACTGATTTTGATAAAGAATTAGCATGCAGTGTAAGGGGGGAGAGAAAGTCAAGAGAAAAAAACTGGTATTCTGCACACGCAAGAATGAGGGCGCTAGAAGGGAAGCTAGACACCCCTTGCCACCCCCTGTCACTCAGAAACAATGGCTTTGAACTTTTTAAGTGCAGCACAAGTGGCCTCTTTTCCTCTCAAAGAGACGGATATTGCACTGATAACAGCCCCTGTCTGCCGGGCTTGATGGACATCACTTTCAGCGCAGGCTTAATTTGACCTTTCAAAAGCCCCTCCATGCCTGTGCCATCATGTTCCATGAGTCCTCTCACAAAATGAGAGAGTGATGGGAATTCTTTCATTTTAGAACTGAACACATTTTCTATTATTTTATTAAAAGGGACATTTTGCACTTCATTCTAATTTTTTTTTACTTAAAAAAAATTACTAGTACTAGTGGTGCACGATATATCGGCCACCGATATGATACATTTTTTACACATTGGTATCGTTCCGATGTCAAAATAGAGGCCGATAATCATTCCTGTGTATTTGACGTGTGTGTAGATGTGAGTGTGGTGCGCGCTGTGTTCTATCAGCCTTATTAAGGCATATTTTATGTCCCACTAAAGCCTTATTTGACGGGTGAGTGATGTAGATGACTGACTGCTGCGCTTATTTAACTGAGAGAATGAGCAGAGAGAGTGAAATCCCCGATCTCACCGTCTTCAAACTGTCTTGCTCTCTCTGTGAGGCTCCACATTGGATTTAAATCAAACTTCGCTTATCAATACATGCATAACACACGTGCATATACACCTATAAATTACTCACATATACATGTATACTATTGGATGTTCCATATAAATACACGTGTTGTGCACACTAATATGAAATCCATAACAATACATATTATGTTAGTAATGAATGCATATAAACTTATACGCATACACCTACAAATACTCACAATATACGTAACGCATTTCTCTCTATAGGCACATTTACTACAGAGAAGATGGCGATGTCTGCATCATCAACTTTATCAATTTATCAACTTTATCAACAATTCAAATGTTTCATGCATAATCATTACTTTCGCCTTTCGATTTAAATCCTACGTGGCGCCTCAAATCTCTCTCCTTCATCGCGCAATAATGAATTGAGTTGACTGAATATCTTTGCGTGAGAATACGTGATGGTAAAAGGTGGAATAGCAAAGTTTTCTTATTTCTGTTTCTGAACTACCACTGGTTGTGAATTAAGCTAAAATAACATTGCCTTTCCACACACTCAGTTGACATAAACCACACTTTCAATAAACAAACAAAAAAATATCGATCTAGTGATGAAATATTTTCTGTGTTGACAAATCTTGTGCGATGTCCTAGACTGCCTGTGCTTTTAAACTGGAAAATAGATCTGTATGGTCTGTTTGGTTGTGTGATGTGAAGCAATAGGACAAAAAACAAAAACAAAAACAAAAAAAAAACATTTTAATGATCTGAAGATTTATCCAAAGCCACATAAAGCTCATTTAAATTTCTGCTGTATGCTTCAATAATTGTCATAATTATACTGAGGTGGGAAAGAGCCAGGTTTGTATTAACCATTCCTGCTTTAGAGAAAGGTACCTTAGAATAACTTTGTTGGTTTGACGCCTGGCGTTTAATTCCGATTATAGGCTCCATGAGGACCGTTCTTGGCAGAAAATATTAGTTGGCATCTCATTTTGGCAACTGGGCTAAGATATTAAAGCATTATTTTGTGGAGAGCCATTGGTTGCCAAAGTCTGTGATCTTGCAGCAAGCTCTTGGAAGAGCTTTTGAAGAGGCACTCTCTTTAAATGATGAATAAAGCCATTCTAAAGCTGAGTCAGTTTGTGTTGGACGGCCAGAGATGAGAGTGTATTAATGAGCTGAGGGAATCTTAAAAGACAATACCCCATACACAAAACATTTGTATTCAATGACAGGGACATTTATGACTCCCTTTGTCATTAAAACACTTAAAACAATCAACAAGTCCTTTTAGAAAAGCGTTATGCATGTGAGTGCACCAATCCTCTGCATTTTAGCTGAATAATCTGTAATGTGAGATAAAAGATGACATTTTAAAATCACTGCGATTGCCTGTGGCTTTTTCCTCCTCGTTCCACTATGCTAAATCAGAGACCTGCTGATGCATACTTCTATACAGAGGAGCATTTATAGGAACAGAGAGCGGGTGCTACAACACGACCCGAGTTGGTAGTCGACAACCTCAAATGTCACATTTTCTCTGCGTGTGCGTGCGTGATGTGAACTTTGAAAGTGGCTTGCTTTTAGTCTTTGAGTTTCAGGGGAGGTGATTTGTTACTGAGATGATCACGATGTGAATTTTTGACGTGCGAGAGACATCCTACAATGTCATCTCGCATAGAGTACTGTGACATTTGTGACTAATGGTGATGTGTTGAGGAGGCGGCTTGCTATAAATGACACATTTCCTCTCCTCTGATCTCTCCACAGGGTCCGCCCAAGCCAGTGGCCGTGGAACCCTGTTCTGGGGGTAAAGCAGCAGTGCTCACAGTGCTTTTGTGTCTCCCACGAGGAGCTTCTGGTGTACCTCCACCCGGCCAGTCAGGTCAGTATTTTAAAAACGTGTCCCCACTTTACAAGTACTTGTTTTACATGTAGTCTTCCTGAAGCTCACACTGCAGAGCATTGGGCTAGCAACCCCAAGGTAATGATTGGGGGTTTGATTTTTAGAGAATGCATTCATTTATCAACTGTATAAGCTTTAAAGGTGCAATGTGTTCACAAAAAACATTCATAACTATGTTTTCAGTGGTGTATAAAGAACTTATTTAATAAACCATAATGTTTTTATTACCTTAGAATGAGACATTTATATGGCGCTCACACTTTTACAATCATGTCATTTTTTGCCACTCATGCGGATGCGTCAAGTTTAAACAAGGCTTTATGCTTTAATCAGCTCAGCCACAGTAACAGCTCATATTAGCCATCTAAACCTTTACTACCCTGTTAGAAAAAATATATAGTTGCATAGTTTCATGTGGTTCTTCTCCCTCGCTGTATTATGGGTTTGCTATGTACTATTATTATATTATATACTAAGACCCTTGATCCTGTGGTTTGATGTGGTTTATAATGGACTGATTCAGTCTAAATGTACAAATTTAGGAAATTAACATGCTCAAATATCCAATGTCTTTACTAATATATATATATATATATATATATATATATATATGCATGTTCTTTTGCACTTATGTTGTCCTCCTGGTAATTTTAGTCCTAGCATAACATTTGACTGAAATTTAAAACCCTGACATGGTACAGGGCAGGCAGCTTCTCCGTTAATGTGTCACACCGAATTATCATGTCCACTGCACGCTTATGTTGCATTCTGGTCCATTCCCCATGTGAGAATTATTTACATGCAGGAATTCAGAGAACGTTCTCCATTGTTCCCCTGGTGGTCTGATGTAAGTTTGTCTGTGACTGCCGGTCATATCCTCTTACACCACTATGGCTAACCCCAGTCTGAATGTCTCCTGTCCTGTCTATAGTCTGATACAGCTTATTGGACCATGAAAATCTGTGTAGACATTGTACCTCTCAGTGTCCCTGACTTTGAGACAAATGATTTTCATGTTCCCGTGAACACCTCTACTACAAATGTAAAACAAAAAATAATCAATACAGTAATGATGGTGTCCAGTTCCAGTTTTTCCCCCCAGTCTTTGGGGCTGTTTACACCTGGCCACTTCATGCGTTTTCTGTGGTCGGATAGCTATCTGATAGTGAAAAGACCTGGTGTAAATGCCCTCCGAAACGCATTCGAGACAGAGGTGGTCTCGCCTGCATTCCAGACGAAACTGGACGTGTAAATGCATCTGGTTGTTGAAACCACATATGTAAATTTTATTCCCCCCAAAAATGCTAAAACAATAAACATGTGAGAGCGTGTTATTTATCATGTTATAGTCAGATATGACGACGCTACTGTAACACGCATTACCGCAGAGGAGCAGCTGAGCATCTATTCATCAAGCCAACGTGCAAACTATCGCAAATCAAAGTGAAAGTAAGTAGCAGACGGTTAACACACAATCTTCATTAAAAGTAAAGAAATGAAATGATCTTACCAGGGCTGTTGCCGCTCTCTCTTATTGCTCTGGTTGATTTTGAAATTTTAGCTGATGATCAATAAAATGCAGCTCATATCTGTTGCTTTCAGTGGCATGCACTCCATTAAATCTGTATATAGCGCGGGAGTTGAAGATCGGATTTATATCCGTTTTGCAAAAACACATTTATGTGACCAGGTGTAAATGGTATCGTTTTGATAAATCAGATAGCTATCCTATCTGAGAAAACAAGAGAAGTGAAGTGGCCAGGTGTAAACAGCCCCTTTTGTCATTCACCTTATAACGTCATGTGCTCATGTTTAGACGGCAGTGCTTTAAAAGCCATGTCAACTTGAGGTCTGTCTCATAGACCCCTTTTTGGCTTTAAGAGCTACAGAGTGAGAAGGTTGGGTTGAGAAAAAAACAACAAACAAAAAAACCTCTTACTTCTTTCCTTTCTCAGCAGGCCTGTCAGTCAACATGCTGTTTTATGGGACCTTGTCCCTTTAAGCTTGACTGTCTCCCCAGGAACTTGACTCTTCTGAAGAAGAAGAAAAAAAAAAACTTTTGTTTCAGTAAAGCTTCTCTAATAGCTCATCTTTTGTTTGACAAGCACAAAACAGGGGGAACAAATACCAGTACATAAAAACAACTGATATGCAAAAAAAAAAAAAGAATTTTTGGTGATATCTGAGGACAGTTGGATCTATCATGTAACTTCATGGCTCTGAAAAATTTAGAGTGGCTGCTTGCTGGGCTTTTGAAATTTCATGAACACTTTTGGAAAGAGGTACATCAGATAGAGGGAAATTAAAAGAGAGAGAGACTGAAGGGGAAAATATGGTGAGACTGTTCTGAATTATTTTTGGAGAGAAGCACAGGAGCTTTGTGCACAGATGTCACTTTGTCATCAAAAAGCTTTGTTTAGTTTGTCTTTTTGGAAGTTCCACAGCAGGGTGGATGTGTAGGTGTTTGCCTGCTAGGATAAAGGGGTGCATCACCTTCACAGAGCAGACCAATCTGTGTTTGAGTGATGTAGGAGTTTGGCGCAGAGAAGGCTGCTTTTGTCAGCTGTCACCCTGCTCTGTCTGCATGTCTACCTTGTGTGATGTTAGTGTGATCCTGAAAAAAAGCCTTTCCCCCCCCTCTAAAACAGCCTCCCACTCAACCTAGTGCTTGGACATGATAATGAACTCCGCTAGCAGGTTTTAAGGTTCCGAAGGTCTTACTCATTTCACTCCTGGCTAACAAATTCAACTGAATTTTTGTTCATTATATACATGTGTGATCAAATAAGACCTCCTATTCTTCCAGTGGGAAAACATACATGTCCGACCTTATTTAATATGGAATATTTCTTTCTATGTGATGTAGTGCAAAAATGTGGAGATAAGTGCTGGTAGTATTTTATTTAATTTCATTCCTTTTTTAAAACCTGGCTGAGCCAAGTTTAAGATTACCCAGTAAGCATTGCTGATCATTAAATGTGGGCAGTCATTACTTAATATTCTTAAAGATATATATATATACATGTTTTTTGTTTTGTTTTGTGTCAAGTTTCAAATTGCCCATTGTTGGCGAATGAGTGTGTTTTTTTTAAAGCTGCAGTCCAGCGTTTTTCCTCTTTGTCGCCATCTCTGTTCGAAATCTGCAATTGTAGTCATTCGCGGAATTATCAACTTTACTTGAGTTGTACTTCAACACCCTCGACATGGCGCGGCGTGGATGAACACAATGTTTGAGGAGAGCGTGAGGCTGTCAGTCACCCTCCGATGTGGATACTGGCATTAAAGATTTTGGAAGTGTGACCAACATAAGAATTTTCACCGGAAAATGTCATCTGAATTTGTAAGAAATCCACTTTTGTTCTGGTTCTGACTGCAGTAAATCGCACTGATTAAATCTAATAATCGCTTATAAGTGATCATGTCACGCAAAACCATGCAAATTATACTTTGTTCTCAAATTGTTAATGTTAACAACGTCAGCATTGCGTGACCGTGACTACATGTAATGTCCTTCCGATGTGTATCCTTTGTTTTCGCATGGGTTCGGTTGCGGTCTTTTTTTGTAGCCACTCCGAAGTCCGAACGAAGTCTTCTGGTGATTGTCGTTTGAACCTTTATGGATCCGCCATCAAATTGATAAGTTTAATTATATCAAGTGCTGTGAGAAAAAGCTATAAATCTCCACCTCCAGCATACTCGCACGCAATATAGCTTATACTAGCCAAGACGTGTACAGATGTGTCGTAATGACGCAAAGACATGCTAGAATGTCCTGTGGAAATCCACCAGTACCACTGGAATTAAAAATATTATTATAAGCTTACCGTTTTGAATCGAGCTAAGGCAAGCAGATAGTTTTGAACACTGGCTGGTTATGCATTTCTCAAGTATGTATTTTGGATCATTTTTAACCCCCCAAAAAAGCTACGGACCGCAGCTTTGAAGTACGACCATTTCTGAACAAGCCATTTTTTCAGCTCAGCTTCAGCACAGCATAAGCTAACTTTTATCCCAAAATCCTCATGATCTGACCCAGTTTAAAAATAAAATCTAGTAGCCTTTATTGTCAAACAATGCTGACCCACCATTACTGGCTCTTATCCAGTCCTTTTTTACCTGAATGGTAAGTAGCAAGTTCATGCATATCGAGCGACTGTAGTAGGCGTACACAACGCTCTTCAATCCCGGGGACTGTTCTGTTGACAGACGTGTAGCTTGCACATTCCTCCCTGCAGGCCAGGTGTTATGGGTAATAAATCGATGTAGGGCAGTGTGTAACTGTCTGAGGCTCAGGTTGTGCTTGGATGTAAATCGTCTTCGCCTGAATGCTTGAAGCTCCAGCTTTTCACCAATGTTCTGAATTCAATTCCTTTTGCCCTGGCCTGTCTGAAGTAATGAATTGTTCCCCTCCGATAATTGTATTGCTTCAATAGCAGGGATGGAGCAGTGCCAGACTAGCACAGAAGTGGCTGTTGTGTTTGTAGGATGATTTGTGAGATGCTGCTTTGAAAAATGGCTTTGGGGTAACAGCCATGGTTTTGACCACAGCAGTCTGTGACGGAATCCTGGCACAAAACGTAGGGAGCTGGGAGCCGGGTTAACTTCAAACCCCCATCCTAGAATGAGAGAAAAATGGTCACGGAATTTGAGAAACGGATGCTTCTTGAAACCGACGACCTTGACATCGGACAAGGAGCGGCTTCTGAGTGCAAATTTTTCTTAATGCATGAATAGTCAGGAACCTGTCTTTGAAAATGAACGAGCTGATATTTGTTCTTTTGAAAGAGATAGCTTCAAGTTACCATTGTCCCTTTTTTAAATAACTTTGCTTTGACATGTAAATGAACCTTTTTCGCTTTTGAAACATCTCGGTGAGCATGTGCTTCTCCTCTCTGACCCTCGGCTTGCTTTGTTGTGTGTTGTCTGCAGGTATAGCCATTGCCAGCGCTCTTATCGACATGTCCCAGCAGAAGCCCATGGACTTCAAAGAGAAAAGCCAAGGCTTCAAGAACCGCAAAGCTCTGCCTCCCACTCACCAGGGCACCTGTGTTTGAATCGTCTGCGGCCTCGGTGGGCTGTCCTTTACCAGAGCGACCTCCTCTCTTGTGCTGCTTCAGGCAGACGGCGGCCTAGAGCGGCCCCACGTGTGGGGATTATTTAGGTGACAGAGCGCCCTCGATTCCACTCCACAGACACTTCATCTCTCCTCGTCATTTGAACATCGTAAATAGATCTCGATCCGTTTTGAATGACCTTGCCATCACCACCTGTTTCAACTCAAGCATCACTTTATCAGTTCGACTCCATCCGAATCCAATCAACAGGTGACTTTTTGATTCACCCAACTCCTTTCCCTTACAGTCATTTCGGTCTCCTCAAGGCCTTCCGAATGTTGAGGGCCTCTCCAATAGTCTCCCATCTGCTTCACACCAAGCACAGATGTGCCTCTAGCATGGTTTGTACATTTGGACCAGAGTGTCTTGCTAAGTCAGAAGCAGCGTTCTAGTAGTCTAGGGATGGTCGCCGAATTCGTGTACGGGTCGAACAGCTCACCTATTTGTATGCTCGCAAACCAGACTTACGTTTTTGCTCAATTTGTAGCTATTTTGAATTTTTATTTCAAGAGAAGGACTATAGAAATGTTTGCCATTTGGCGTGGAAGCTATCTGTTGTGTAAGCTAATGACGTTCTGCTGCTGGTAGCCTCATGCTTGGTAAACTCACGTTAGGAATGGATCAAATCCGTCAAATTAGATAGATAGATAGATTTCGCACATTTCATACTTATGCTCTTCTTGTGAAGACTTTGCATGGACCATTCACACTATGCTTGAAAACTTTAAACAGTTTGTGGGTTGTGTGTCACATGAAGCGTGTCTTCGTGTCTTGAAATATTGCTGACCGTTAGATGCAGTGTAACGCTCCATAATATAGAGGAGCCAGCTGGTTTGGGAGAAACCAAGCGTCATTTGTAAATCACAGAGAGAAAGTCGGTCTTTAGGTGAGGGATGAAATCGTGCCTCACTGACCTGATGAACCAGGAGAATTTCCGCCAGAAGGCCGCATTGCAACGGGTGTATAGTATTGTTAAGGAAATTCTAGGGAACCCTAGAAAAGCCGATTGTCTTCTTTATTTTTATTGTCGTTTTGCAACGGTACAGATTTAAATGAGCAGTGACTCATTACTTTGCAGTAACGCTTCATCTCTTTATAATGAACTTTTGTATACTTAAGTTTCACATATTGTGAATGTCCACCAAGGGAGAAAATTTTGAGGAGACCAGCACGTGATAGTGGATTTAGACTGTTCATGCACTCAAGTACTGTGTCCTCAAACAATGGGCTTTCTCAAAACAGGTTTCTATTCACCACACCACTGGATCTTCTGAATCTGATTAACCCACCACTAGGACTGAGTCTGAGCCCTCCGTGAGTAAAACAGGAAATCTGGGAGATGTTTCCTCCTCTCTGTGGCAACAGCAAAAAAGTGTACAGCAACCTACTCACTACTTGTTTGCTTTAGATGGACTTGAATATGTGAATCTAATGTGAATTGCTCTTTTTCTCTTCATGTAGCTACAGTACTTCAATGTTTTTGTTTGTATTTTTTGCCGGTTTTAATAAAGGATATTAAAGGTCAATAGGTATTTTAGGGCCACCCGCTGTACATGACGGTGATGAGAAATAATCATGTCTTTTACAATGTTTGTGGAAAAAAAAAATGTTGAATTGTTTTTAACTAATTGATTCCTGTGTAATACCTCTGTGTTTTGATTCTTTGGTCACACGTGTAACTAACTCCATTCATATTAGCGTCTGTTTTTAGGGATGGATTTGAACTGAAGCTGCTCATTTAGATTATTCTGGGCATTTTTGAATTGTGTTTAGGAATTTAGTTTCAGAGCTATTTTTTATCTTGAAGTGAGTTAGAGATTGTCACGCAGGAATTCTACAGACTGATTACACAGGAATCATCTCACTGTAACTGAGAAAAAAAAAACAGATTCATTCATCCCTCAGTGCATATCATTAATCCTCATTGTATTTTAAAGATGAATGGAAAAATAAAACACTTGAATATTCAGAAGTCCATGAATCATTCCAGCGCTTATGAATATGATAAGCTCATTTCACAGCTTTCACAAAATCAATAATTTGGTGGCTCTCGTAAGGGCTCATTGCTGTGAGCAACTACTCCACAAAATATTTACAAAAATGGATAAATTTAAATACTGCATGTCCTTTAGGTGTATAACTAAGTAGTTTACTGTATCTATTGGCTTAATCGGTAAAATAAATGATAACGTGTAGATATATTATGTCCCCCCAAACACTTGAATTAAGTATTCTCCTTTCTGATCACCAAGACAATGTAATGTATTGAAGAACCAATTTTTTTGCATTTCAGAGAAGCCCCTATTACTCTCAGAACTGTGGAGGCAAGAAAACTGGTTTACCTATCCTGAAATGTAGCCAACCTTTTTTCAGAGGCTGATCTGATTTGAGCCTGTTATCCCTGACATGAAAGCAAATATCTCTGTTCTGTAATATGGTTATAGTGGCCCATTATTTTACCACAGTCAAGGGGTGTTAGGCAACGATGTGGAGTGAATTGCCTAAAAGCTCATTTTTGAGTGCTTTTGCTTTTATACAGTGGCAGTAGCAGTAATATGTCAAAGACAGCAATGTTCAATTGGTGCAATTCATCCACCAAGTAGTTTATTAAACTAACTGTACGTTATTTGTTATTGCCGAGCAACATAACGGAACAAAAACGGAATTTACAGCTTTGCTAAGATCCACGATATAGTAGCAGCAAATCTCTGTTATTTTAGGGACTGTTTACTTTAGAATTGTATTAATAAATGCTTATTAATATAACATTTTGATTAAAAATATATTTTTTTAAATAGAGATGTTAACCATTTTATAAAAGCAATATTTGCAATACTCGTATACTGTATATTCACAATATATCACCAGTGTTATTAAAGTTAACTACAACAAGCAAAATAAAATATAAAGATTACATGAAAAATGAAACTTATTAAAATTAGAAGTAAATATTAGCATGATGTGTTTTTATTTGGATAACTTAAAAATAGCAACAACCAAAAGTCGCTCCCACAGCGCATTCACTGTAGACTTGTTAAAGCACAGACAATAGTTCACAAAACAGGCTCTGTCCCTTTTTCCAGCAGGTTATCTCACGATACTCTTTCCCCAGCGATCTTCAGTCCTTCTCCCGTTTTTTTTATTTTATTTGTATTTTTTTGTCATTTGCACTTGACCTACTTATGCACCGCTTGTCTCCTTTGCCTCTCGCCTGCTACAGACTTCGCTGAATGAAGTCCCCCTCGTCACAGACACCCCCCCCCCCGTCCCTGATTTCTGGAGAGAAAGTCAGCTAGAGCCATCTGCACCCCTGAACTGTGGACCACCTTGAATTTAAAGGGCTGTAGTACCAGATACCAATAGATGATTAGCGCGTTGGCATCCTTCATGCAGTGAAGCCACATGCAGGTCCGAACAGAGGTTGAATTCCTGTCCTAAGAGATAATGGTGGAGGGTGAGAACAGCCCATCTAATTGCCAGACACTGTTTGTTGGTGATAAACGCTGGTGCGAATAGATTTAATGCCCAATAATTTGTAAAGTTCACCAATAGTCCGTGACAGAAATGCCGTGCCTTGATCGGTGAGAATCTCTTTTGGGATTCCCACCTGAGAGATTAACTGAAACGGCACGCCCACTGCACTTTTTGCGGAAAAATTGTGTAGTGGCACTGCCTCGGGGTATCGCATTGCATAATCCACTAGGACTAATGCAAGGCGATGCCTCTGTGCAGATCGTTCTTATGGCCTGATGAGATCCATACCAATTCGTTCGAAGGAGCCCTGCATGAGAGGAAGTGGGCACAATGGTGCTTTTGGATTGGCCGGTGGATTCACCAACTCTTCAAAGGCATTTTTGAGTGTTTCGTCCTGAGACTGTTCCAAGGGAAAATCCGTGTGCTCTGTAAGGATTCTACTTTCAAGAGCGCTCTGTTCCCCTGGCTTATCTTCCACAGCTTCTGCTAGCTGAGTGAACACCCCCCCTTCCCTGCTCCCCCATCTTCAGACACATAAATACCCCAACAATACATTAAGATATGGCCAATTTGTTTCTAAAATTAGTGGATGTCAGAGGTGTGGGCTAACAAGCAACCTCTATATTAAGCTTTTGACGAAATTGAATAGCCACCGACATTATGGTAAATGAACTGCATTTATATAACGCTTTCACAGACCCAATGGCCTCCAAATCACTTTTCATTTTGCCTCATATTCACGCATTCACTCATTCGCCAACTGCGGTGTCAGCCATGCAAGGCGCCATCCAGCTCGTCTGGAGCAGCTGGGGTTAGGTGTCTTGCTCATGGACACTTCGACACTTGGTCAGGTGGAACCGGGGATTGAACCACCAACCTTCCGGTTTGTAGACAATCTACATGAACTACTGTGCCACTGCTGCCGACATTAAGAGGTATTTCACCACCTCCCTGTACTCTTACCCAGTGCCTCTGGTTAAATCATGCTTTGATGAATGGAGGTTTGGTTACATCCTGAATCCACCAAAGCCTGATACGTACCCCCTTAATACTTACAGGTATCTGGTACATGCCAGCTTGATCGGGTGCAGCCTGCTGAGCGTCCGAGACCTGGATCAGGTTCCACACCTTCATCACTGGACACCGATCGATAAGATGACCCAGGTCCCGGCAAATGCTAACAGGCCGGCCCAGGCCTTCCCTCCACCCTGGCGGGAACCGGGTCAAAGAATTGCCATGGAGAGAGTGGAGGAACGGGAATTGCGGCGGTGCTGCTGGTTGTTAGCCCCTCCTCCCTGGGCGGCACTCTGGGACCTGCTGTCGGCCTTTCTGCTGGCCCACTCCATCAGCGCAGTCTCATCCCAAGACGTCATATAACTGACGTCTTGGGACGTCTTTTGACCATACATCAATATCCGCCTTTTTAGGGCCCCCTTAAACGTCGGTAGATGACGTTATCGGATCCTAACTCTACCCCAGACCTAAACCTAACCGGCGTTAAAGGTAAAGCGTCAGTTGTATGACGGCCCGGGATCGTCATCTACCGACGTTTAAGGGGGCCCTAAAAAGGCGGATATTGACGTATGGTCAAAAGACGTCCCAATAAGTCAGTTATATGACTTCTTGGGATGAGACTGTGTTAACTCCATCGAGGTGCCGGTCGGGTCGTGAAACCCCCTCAAGACCTAGGGAGTGGGACAGGTTTAGAGGGGGAAAGAATGGGGGGGGGAAACACATGGGAAGAGAGAGAGAAGCTGGTAGGGGTTCGTCGACCTGGGGCACGCCACCATCTGGTCCTTTGCCAGAGCATTGCGCGCTTTCTCCCGTGTCGTTTTTTTTTAGCCCCCAATTTTTTCCACTGTCAGTGGGACCCCTTTTCTGTGGTACAATCAATGACTGTAAAGACGAAGCAGAGCCCCTTGTGACGTATTGCTTTATATTGCAAGAGCCTAAAATCCAGTTCATCCAATTAGATTTTATAACTGCAATGGTTTTATAATTCTACATTTTCTAACCCAAATTAGAGTTGATGCATGATGTTTAATGAATATTATCAATCCCTGAAGGTTGTACTGTTTTATATACATCCACCCCCTATCCGTCCACCTCACTGTGACAGTCACCAGACCCGGCTAGTCACTCAGTCTGCTCAGGTAGATGCACAGCCTGACATAGACGGAATGAGCTGTCACAGCTGACTAATGCCCATAAAGACACTCTGGAGAGACAAATGGATAACTCACTGCAGATCTGCGTGTGTATGTGTGTCTTTCCTGGAGACAGCCATAACATTATTCCATGTATCGAAGGCAGTGATGGATAAGCCTGGCTTGTTTTTGTATTTTCCATGTCGAAGGTTTCCTTACTGTCTTCTGGAAACCAATTCAATACCGTGTCTAAACACATTCGTCTCTGGTTGAACAGTGCCGTTTGAACTCGTAATAACATTTAAATTTGTGATTGGCTGCCATCAATATCAAAGTGATCAAAGTGGGTCGGCGCGTATGGTTGGGTTGCGGAGAGTTCGGGTTACGGAGAGTTTGTGAGTTATAACGGAAATCATTATGAACATCAGCTATGCTAATTATTTCCCATCTGCCTTTCTGCTGTTATCTCGGGACGCTTGTCCCGAGAAAAATGGCGTTCGTCAGGTCCAGTTTTGTGTCCAGCCTCTCACGGGGATTTCGGATGCCCCAACGCCTGTGATGAGACGACTCAACGCCTGCGATATGTTATGGCGCCGTTTGATTCATAAACAATATTTATATTTAATATTTATATATAAACAATATGAATGTAAGCCAGAGGAGAACTGGCCCCCGACTGAGCCTGGGTTCTCCCAAGGTTTTTTCTCCATCCAATCTGATGGAGTTTGGTTCCTTGCCACTGTCGCCTTGCTTTTGGCTTGCTTTGAGCTTGCTCAGTTGGGGTTATTTAGTGTTTAGCAATGTTGTTGATCTGTGTTGGGCTACTTTCATGTTATCACTGTGAAGCTGCTTTGATACAATCTGTATTGTGAAAAGCGCTATATAAATAAATGTGACTTGACTTGACTTGACTTGATGACTGCATGGAGACTGTTAACAGAAATGTAAAATCACCAAACGATCAATTTTCCTCCTCCATCCGCCTGTTTTTCACCTGATCCCCTCTTTTAATGTGCGTTTGAGACGTGCAATTTCCGTATGGATGAATCTGTCAATATCAGTCGTATAAGTCGTGGAGTGTGTATCCGGTGAGGTCGTATATCTCAGGGTGTGTCAGAGGATGAGTGCTGTGAGAGATGCCTCGAACCTTTATTGCTTTTAGTTGGCAGGAAATGCCCAGTGTAAATCAAGGTGTCTGGCACTAACATTAAGAGATATTAATGGAAGTGTGGCCTGTTGGTAATACAGGAGGTGAGAGAGAGAGAATGAGCGATGGTTATGGATAAATCAGTCATCCTTATGATGTCTGTAACACCGAGATCTGCGAGGAGGAGGATGAGTTTTACTG